TGAACATCCATACTCGTGCAATATGTGATGCTCACATCAGAATAAAATTATATTCAATAATATATACTATCATTGCTATTTGTGGCCCTTTACCCATTCTTCCCTCCTCTGTCCCTTCCCACTTCTAGTAACCTCAGTTGTCCTTTTGAAAGTTCAGTGTATTATTGTGAATGTTGTATCTTTATTTATGTTTATTATTTTAGCTCCCACTTACGAGTGAGAGCATATAGAATTTCTCTTTCTGTGCCTGGTTTATTTCACTTAATATGATTTTCTCTAAGTTCATCCATGTTGCTGTGAATGGCAATATTTCATTCTTTTTTTATAGCTGAGTAATATTCCATCGTGTATATATACCATATCTTCCTTATCCAGTCATCTGATGATGGACATTTAGGTTGGTTCCAACTCTTGGTTAGTAAGACCATTTTTTGCCAGAGGAACTGCTGATTTAGAGCCAGCCCAAGACTGTTCTTTTTTAATTGTGTTTTTCCTTTCTTCATCTTGTTCCCTGTTTCAGTTTATTTGGTATCTATTCTTTTTATATGTCTGCTTTGGCACTTCATACTTTTCCTGAAATTGATCTAAGCCAGTGCTTCTCAACCTGATCATATTGCTGCACACACAGAAAATATTTACATTGTACAGTGGGGTATGTGAAGCTAGAGGCTACAGATTAAGGGTTTCTGGCTACCCCAGGCCCCATGGAGCACCCTGAGAGCTAGGAGATCAATATCTCAGCATAGGTATAGCCCATTTGTGTTATTCGCCATCATACACCAGTTGAGAAGCTTGATCTAGACTTTCAATTTATTTGAGTATAGTTCATATCCATCAGTGATGCTGCAATGAATCACAAAGGTAGAATTGTTAGTATAGCTTTGAAAAAGCAAAGCAGAGGGTTCAGATCCCTGTACTTGCCAGCTGCCAAAAAAAAGCAAAGCAGTAGGTGATTTCATCTTAATTAACCCATGCTTAAGTCAGCACTGTCATGTACCTGGAGAGCAGGAAAAGGGCAGGCTTAACGTGATCTCTACAAAGCAGGACAGATATATTACCATCAGGTTGGGTCACTAGTCTCATGTGCCTAGAGTTGCAGGTGGAAAGGAGTAACTTACTTTCGTTGACCATTAAATGCCTACCTATTTAGACCTGCCAACCAAGGGAAGTCTTTTCTGACAAATTATTTTAAAACTTGGGAAGAACATTGATCCCGGAGAGGACAGAAAATCAGAAAATAAGGTTGATTTCTCAGTGTCATCCTGCACAGCAGTTCTCAAATTGTGATCTCAGGACTCTTGTACAGTCTAAAAAATTATCAAGGATCCCAAAGAGTTTTTCTTTATGTGGATAATATCTATGAGTGGGTTACTGTTTTAGAAATTAAGATGAAAAAAATTTATATATATTTATTACTTTAAAAATAGCAATGAACTAATTACGTGGTAATATAACTAACATTTTATGAAAAATAACTATTTTCCAAACACAAAAAAATGTGAGACAAGTAGCATTTTACATTTTTGTAAATCTCTTTAATATCTGGTAGCTTTATTCTCATGTCAGCTTCTGCATTCAGTACGTTGTGATATGTAACCTGTGGAAAATTCCACCATACACTTGAGAGAATGCAGGAGAGAAAAGAATTCTTCTGAAATTATAGAATTATTATGAAGATAGGTTTGGGTTCTTTTTGGCTGCTGGTCAGTACAGGATCCAGTCTCTTGACCTTGGTGTTATTAACACTGCACTCCAGCCAACTGAGCTAACTGGCCAGCCCTGAAGATAGTTTCGACCTTGCAGACCTCCTGAAAGGGTCTCCAGGACCTCCATGGGTCTCTGGGACCTCCAGGGGTCTCCAGACCACACTTTGAAAATTGCTGATCTAGCAGAAAGGATGAATGCCAAGCTCTGTCTGGAGTTTGACCAGCCTGATACCAATTTTATAGGTTATACCAAAGGCCAGCCTTTTGCATGATGTAGAATGAATACTTTCTCAAAAGTTATGAATTTAAATAATTTCACTTTCTTCATTAAGATAATTCATTAAATGTATAACTAAATACATATACTTAATTTTTTAATAATAAACTAGAAGAACTTTTCCAATCACATATTCTTGGAAAATATCACCATAAAACTTCAATCTATAGCACAAAACAGATGCTCAATAAGTATTTGTTTAATAAATGTTCTTAGGGTCCATACAACCAGAACTGACTGAACGGATGTCAGTAGCTTTATGTTTTTCACTGAACACTGTGAACTAATGAGGAAGTGACCTAATGACAACTCTAGTATATTAAGTCTGCTCCAAGGTCCAGATAATTTTTTTTTTTTCCTTTTTTTATCTTTTTTACTGACCGGTAACGGGATCGCAACCCTCGGTGTCGCGCCCGTACCAGGGACTGGCAATGGGATCGCAACCCTCGGTGTTGCGCCCGCACCGCGCTCAGCCAGTGAGCGGGAACCGGTCTCCACATGGGATCCGAACCCTTGGCAGGAGCGCTGCCACACTCCCAAGCAGCGCACTCTCCAGTGCGCCACCGGACCAGCCCTCCAGATAATTTTTTTTTAAATTTATCTGGCTTCACCCAGGTGGTCAAGGTACAGACCTGTCCCTGTCATATGAAAGAGGATTTCTTCTCAGCTGGAGGTACCAGGGAGTACCCACACTGAAATATCCGTTTCTGATGAAAATAATAGTAACTGCTGTGCGCGCGTGCACGTGTGTGTGTCCAGGACTGGGATCTGAACCCTTGACCTTGGTGTTACCAGCTTCATGCTTTCCCAAGAGAGCAACCAGCCAGCCTAGTAGCTACCTTTTAATGAACGTTTACTAAGTGTCAGGTAGTGGACTAGGCATGCATCATGTCATTTCATCTTTAAAGTAGCCCATATTATTATTGCCATTCTGTAAGTGTGTAACTTACACAAGGTCTCTCAGGTAAAATCTGTGTTACTCCAGGTCCTGAGCCTTATTTTTTATTTTTTTATTTTTTTGGCAGCTGGCCGGTTAGCTCAATTGGTTAGAGCACGGTGTTGTAACACCAAAGTCAAGGGTTTGGAACCCAGTACTGTCCATCCACCAAAACAAAACAAAGAACAAAATTCCTGTTCTTGTGGGACTTAAGTGAAGGAGACAGGCAATAAATAGGTCCTGAGCTTTAATCACCTGACTGCCTGTGGATTGAGGAAGAGGCCTGGGCTTGGGGGGAATAATAGGAATTACAAAGGCTGTTTTCTGCTTTTGGATCTTCATACAATTATGTAGATGGTAGGAGCTGGAGGAGACAAAGATGAATCAGTGCTTTTTAATCTCTGATATGGCACCAACTCAACAACAAAGAATGACTGCCTTAGTTACTCTTTTGAATGCTGATTAATCCTGAATCCAAACTGAGCTCCTATAGAGCAAGAGTGTGTTTTGCTAGACCTATTTATTACTTGTCAGTTACTGAGCAGCTACTGAGCACAGAACCTTGGTAAATACAAAAGCGGTTTATAATCTGTGTTCACAAGGAGTTTAAACATGAGTCGGGGGTTAAAATAGTATTACACAGAATAATATACCAGTAAATGCTGATTAAGGTGTCTACTAGCATTGGTTCCTACCTGACACTTTTGGAATTTTTTTACCACCTATGTAAAAGAGAAGGGGTTAGAGATGTGGCTCATTTTGAGCTCTGAATGTTTCCCTATGGCTCAGGAACTTTGGTGATAAGGGTAAAAGAAGTTTTCATAGAGGAGGAGGATAAACAAAATTTCTTAATCTTTCCCTCCCTTAGAGATAATAAATTCTGGATTCAGCTGCAGATCAAGGAAAAGGTCAAGGGCATACATCTTGTACCTCCCGGTCAAATTTTCATTGTGAAACTCCCTAAGAAGTTAAGAAGGCTAAAACTGGTTTTGATTTATCCTGAGAGTGGCTATATAGAGCTTTTCCTAGAATGGATGTTCACAAAAATTTCTTTGTGGAGAATAGTGAGATCTTTTTGAAGAACCAAGGAATAGTTCCTCAATTTTCAAAGATCCAAAAGTTAGAAATTAATTAAAATCAGTGATAGCATTGTAGAGTCTTAGATATAGGGAAAAAAAATCTTAGAAATCAGCTCATATAACCCCTTCCTTTAAATGATGAAACTGAGACCCAAGATATTAAGGGACTTAACCAAGTTTACATGATTTATTAGTGGTAGATCTGGGGCTAGAATTTCTTTATCTTTCCTCACTTCCTGATTTCTTTCTTCACAACTTCTGAAAGTTCTGAATATTTCCATAATCCTTCGGTTAGGCAGGAAAGAGACATGATCCAGGATATCTGTATTTAGGAAGAACTCAGTCTCGGTTCTACTTTCCCCTCCACTCAAGATCTTCTTGGCCTTTTGATGTAAGGAGAATTACCATTTATTAAGTACTTCCCTTTTGCCAGGGTCTTTCCTATACATTATCTCATTGAATACTTATAAGAGTCTTGTGAAGTCGATCACAGCTTCTCACATTTTAATGGGCATATGAATCATCTGGGGATCTTGTTAAAAGTACAGATTCTGATTTTGCAGGTCTTAGATGGGGCTCGCAATTCAACATTTCTAAAAAGCATCCAGGAAATGCCAGCTATTGGTCTGTGGACCATATATTTGTAGCAAGGATGTTGATATTATCTTCATATTACAGACAAAAAAACTGAGGCTCACGGGATTAAATACTTGTCCAAGTTCATACAGGTGGTAAATGGTAGAATAGTTATTTGATCTAGGTCTGTCTGATTCTAAATCTCAAGGTGTGGTAAGAGAAGCCAGGGAAAAATGGAAAGAGCTTATGTTTCAACATTTCTTAAACAGGTCACTTCTCAAGTGAGTCCAATGGCAGAGTCCAGGACCAGATCAAAAAGTTCTGGCTCCTAGCCCAGTGTTTCCTATTAGTCTACTAACGAGGATCTTTCCTTCATGCTTAGCAAACAATATTTAGAATTGGCATTTGGGTTTTCTCCATTACAGGTTTATTGCCAAACCCTGTGCACTCCATGTTGGCATCGAGGACAGTGGTCCTTTTCAGGTCCAACCCAATGCCATCCTTGAAAAGCTGTTTATATCTATTAAGGTAAGTGGGCAAAGAAACAAAGAGGAAAATTCACTGCTCCTTAGGGCAGGGGTAGATAGAGAGCTCATCTCACTAAGTGTAAGGATGGGATGGGATGATTGTCACATTTGGGTAGTCCATATAAGGAGAACTTTATTCCCTCAGGGAAAAAATACCTTTGGGCCAGGGTCCCTACATAAGTCAAGTTCACACGTCTTTGAGTTTTAAGCCCAGCAGCCTCTTTTTCCCCAGACACACCATATCTTGTTTTTGTTTTTCCTTGCTCCAGCTTCTGCCATTGTCTAGTTGCATAATCAAGGTGGGGACAGAAGTGATAGTCTTGGCAGTTTAGGTTTTTAATATCCTTTTTTACTCAGCTTGGACTAGAGGGAGAAGACCAAACAAAGGTGTGTATAGGTGAGCAATAAATGTCCCTGATGTATGAGATAGGATTTCTTACTAAAAATGACTTTTGCATGAACTTGGAAAGGTAAACATCACTTGAGCCGCTGTGGTTATCACTCCTTTGCCAACAGCTAGTCAAAGGGATTTAATGAGGGGTTTGAAAAGAAAGTGGTATTCTTATTCTGGTTATATATCTACAGTATCCTGATGAGAAAAGGCTGGAGGGCCTGTCAAAGCAACTGGACTGGGATGTCCGAAAAATCCAATGCTGGTTTCGCCATCGGAGGAATCAGGACAAGCCCCCAACGCTCACTAAATTCTGTGAAAGCATGTAGGTGTGCAGAAGGAAGTGGGAAATCAGGAGGAGGGTGGGGATACATTTAGACTGAGGTTTTCTTTTTTGGAAATCGCTTCTGTTGTTAGGAAACAGTCAATGGATATGAAGGGCTAACTCAATCTATCACAGGTAGGGAAGAAGAGAGCCGGAAGTCTGGTCACCCTTAGTTTCTTGGATTTGTTTGCCACTAAGCTAGATGTGGGTCCATTTTTTTCCCCTTTCCTCAATAGATTGGGAGTGAATTCCTATAACTGCACTTATCTAGGTAGATATGCACACCCTTGTCCACATTAATAGAGATAGTACCAGCTCTAAATTAACATATTCATAGGAAGCATCCCTCTTCTGGGAAATATTATACTTGCTTCCACTGGGTTATTACTAATTGTCCTCTAGAAACAGAGCACTGTATTAGTAATTGTCATGCAAAGAAAAACATTAGGCATTATCATTGGGGAGTCTAATATGGAAGAAAAGTTGATAGTATATACTTGTGGAAATCTATTTTAAACAGAGGCTGGCAGATGACTCTTTAGCTTTTTAGGTAATAATATCTGTCCCTATTCTGGGAACTTATCCTGTTTCTTACCAGTAGCTATCTTATCCCCAAATCTACTATTTTGACTTCTCTAGCCTCAGACGTTCTTTTGAGTGGATATCTGTTTAACACTACTCTTTGCACACCCAGGTGGAGATTCACTTTTTATTTATGTATATTCTGCTACGGAATTAGATTTCTCTGGTCGGTGAGTCTGAACTTTCTCTCATCCTCTGATTGGGTTGTCATGCCTAGATCTCTAGAGATAAAATTAAATACCTTTAGGTCTTTATATTTCCCTAAGTTTTTCTCCTCTGTGGTGCCCATAGCCCAGGTTTATATGCTAATAGATTGTCTTCATTCTGAGGCCTGACTTTAGTAATTTCATGACTCTGCTATTTCTCCCCTAATTAATGCTAATAATAATACTATTAAATCAGCATAGTAATTAATGGTTTACAAAACACTTGACAAAAATTCTGTTCTAAGGAGGATAACTAGAATCAATAACCCTTTAAAGTAGGTGAGACAGGCATTATTCCCCTTTTTCAGTTAATTGTCAGAGTCAAAGAAGAATTTTGGACTTTTTGATTTCTGGTTCCATGTTTTTTTCCCTGTACTACACTGTTCTTCTCTAAATGATATAATTGTGTCTTCAAAATAGACTAAGCAAAAACTGGTAGAACTAAAATAAGGGAATGGACAAGTATACAGTCGTAGTTGGAAATTTTAATCAATAATTGACTAAAACACTAGACCGAAAAAATCACTAAGGATGTAAAGGATATGAACAACAGAATCAACCAATTTGACCATATTGACATTTATAGAATAGTATATAACAACTGCCGAAGAATACATATAATTTTCAAGTACACATGGAACATCATCTAAGACTGTGTGCTAGGCCATAAGTCTCAATAAATTTCAAAATATTGAAATCTTACAGAATATGTTCTCTGATCATAACAGAATTAAATTAGAAATCAATAATAATAAGATATATAGAAAATATTTGGAAGTTAAAAAAATTGTTCTAAATAACTTGTGGATCAAATAAGAAATCACAAGAGAAATTAGAAGATATTTCAAATTGAATGATGCTGAAAATACAGCATATCAGAATTTGTGGGATTCACCTAACGCATACTTAGAGGAAAACTTATAGCTTTAAATGCTTATATTAGAAAAGAAGGGTTTAAAGTCAGTGATCTAAGTTTTCACTTTAGGATCATCTAGAAGAGAAGAGCAAAATAGGGTAAAGGAAGGAAATAAAAAATAAGCAGAAATTAGTGAAATAGGCATTAGACAAAAAGTGGATAAAATCAATAAAGCCAAAAGTTGGTTCTTTGAAAGGTTCAACTAAAATTGATGAGCTTGAGGGAAAAAAAGAAAATATGAGTTATCAGTTAGTGGGGTAGGGTTATCAGCACCGCACTCTCCCGAGTGAGCCACGGGCCAGCCCATAGTGGGGTAGGGTTATCACTATAAATTCTATAGACATTGAAAGGATAATAAGACAATATTATCGACAATTTAATGGTGATAAATTCAACAGCATAGATGAAATGGACAGACTCCTTAAAGGACATAATGTTAACCCTATTAGAAACGAGTACTCTTCGATTTTTGAACCTGGCATGGAGATCTCTCTCTTGGTTATCAAATGAAATCATTGTCTTCCAGCCCTCCTTGTTTCTTCCTATATGCCAGGTGATATTTCCTAAAACTATTCTAGAGCTCACTGCTCTCATTTACCTCAAAGCATAGTTTTTCTATTTATTTATTTTTAGCAGCTGGCCAGTAGTTTCTCTGTTTATTACATTTTCTTGTTGTAGATGAAAAATTTAACCATTTATCGATCTTTTAGGGATCCCTAAAATCTGTCAAGGGTGATTTCTTTCCTGTCTCTCTTTTGCCCCCAGCCTAGAGAAAAGGGGATATATGGGGTAGATCTTGAAGCCAGTTGAGAGTCCTGAAGGGTGACTTGGATTATCTGTTTTCTTTTAGTCACCTTGGTTCTGGGACACCCGACAGTGCTGGCATAGCTATCCATATCAGGTAGGATCTGAGCTGTTTCAAGATGGGGGTCTTGTATGTATATAAGGTGGGGTGGGTGAGAGTACATTGCCAGTCCCAGGACAGATGACACATTTCCTTGGTATTCTTTTTTTTTTTTTTTTTTTAAAGATGACCGGTAAGGGGATCTTAACCCTTGACTTGGTGTTGTCAGCACCACGCTCAGCCAGTGAGCGAACCGGCCATCCCTATGTGGGATCCGAACCCGGGGCCTTGGTGTTATCAGCACCGCACTCTCCCGAGTGAGCCACGGGCCGGCCCTCCTTGGTATTCTTACTCTTTTTTTTTTTGGTGGTTGGTCAGTATGGGGATCTGAATGTTGACCTTGGTGTTATAACACCACACTATAACCAGCTGAGCTAACCAGCCAGCCGTTCGTTCCTTGGTATTCTTGAGGGATTAGGGGCTGAGTCTCTTTGAGTTAGTTATATATTCAGTGTATCTATTTCTGGGGCCTCCGTAGCAGTGAAATCCAGTGAGCTTTTCTTCCAGGTTCCCCATTACATTTACCCTAATGGGGCTGGAAAGAAAAGCAATTTTCTGGCACTTAATGAGGTGCTTTCTGGTTCAGGTTCCTTTTTGTATCAAGGGAAACTTGGAATCCCCTTAAGAGCGTCTTGGTTCTAATCTGTGCTAAAGGGATGGAAGACGAGAGGGCCTGTGTGTATTTAATCTTGTGAAAAGCACTAATTACCCAGAATTCTACACACATTGATTTGATTATGGTATAGGTATAGTATGTGTTAACCTTATCTTTTCTCTAAAAAATGAGAGTTGAAGGCATGTATGTCGAGGGGCAGAGGGAAGAGGTTTAAGTCTCCACACCAATTTAAAGTCTGCTAGCGATTACAGATCTTGGAAGATAATGGGGAGGAAAGATATCTAATAACTTGGACTATTGGTCCTCCAAGAAAGAACAAGTTACAGAGATGGAATGTACCTTTGACTAGGTGGTATTCTAACTACTTCTTTCTCTCTTCCAGCCTCTCTCAAGTGGGCTTTATTACTATTATATCATGGAATTGGCCTTCTATTGGTCTCTTATGTTTTCTCAGTTTACAGACATTAAAAGAAAGGTAAGGCTTCCTCATCTTCCTAACTTACTGCATCCTCCTTTCTAGCAGCTATCATAACTGCCATTTTGAGCCCTTTCCAGGCTGGTACTGCAAAAGAAAGAGAAAGTAGGTTTGGTGGGACTATTAGTTCTTTGTAATGTTCCCAGAAATGAGATGTGACTAATGATGAAGTATATTTAAGACATTCAGGGCCAGCCCGGTGGCGCACTGGAGAGTGCGCCGCTTGGGAGCGCGGCAGCGCTCTCGCCGAGGGTTTGGATCCCATGTGGAGACCAGTTCCCGCTCACTGGCTGAGCGTGGTGCGGGCGCAACACCAAGGGTTGCGATCCTGTTACCGGTCAGTAAAAAAAGACAAAAAGGAAAAAAAAAAAAAAAAGACATTCAGGGCAGCCCAGGATGGGAACAGTTAGCCAGCTAAGAAGCATACTCTTTTCCTTCTTATTCTCCAAGGTTCTTACATGTCTAAAGTTCAAGAAAACTAGTCAAAACTTGAGGATATCAAGGCCTGATTCAGAAAAAGACCTAATTACAGAAAAGCTGTGTCTGGCTTTTGCATGGTATCAAGGACCTTTGTTCTCTCTTTCTTTTTTCTTTTTTTTCTCTTTCCTTTTTGGTTACCCCACTTACTCAAAAGACTGTCAACTGGAGGGGGTTTTAGATGATTTAGTTTATTCTTTTCCTGTGGGTTGACTGCCCGTATAGTGATAGAATTGGAAATGACTTAAGTTTTATATAACCAGACAGAAAAGGAAGAATCTTCATCTTTTCATTGGCATCCACTTGACATAATGTGGTCAGCAGTGCTAACCCTAATCTGTCACTAACTCATGATTATCTTTGGTGAGGAAAACCAAGGTTGACATTTATGGAAATGGATTGAAACTAATCTGGATTGTTACAGTGTTGTTTCCCACAGAAACTTGATACTCAGTTCTGATGCCTTTCACTCTCCTATGGTCAGAAGGCACAGGTCTTATTAAAATTTTATTTTAATATGTGACATATTTTAAAAGTTTGAAATACATACATAAGTTTTAAAACATAATAGACTATATACTTATGAATACATCACCACAACTCAAGAACTAGAACATCACTAATACCATTTTATCTATGTGAAGAACACAGAATTTCATCCTTATTTCTCTTAACCCAAATTCACCCTCCTCCACATTCTGTCCCTCACTGAGCTGGCAAGTGTTGAATAGATGTGTCAGGTATTTGGAGATTTCTCCAGGTCCAACCTTGGCATTTGAATCAAAGAGGAAATTAGAGCCTTCAATCTGAAAGCAGGCAGTGCTTGCAGTAAGACGGTTTAGCTAATATGCATTTCTCTGAAACTTTTTGGGAGAGTTTAGCTTTGCCATAAACTTCTCCTTTCTGTTCGGTCCCTTTGGTTGAAATTTCTTTCAAGAAAGCATAATGAGTCGTAGAATCTCAGGGAAATCTAAGGCTTGTATGTCCCACTGCCACATGGTAAATTATTTCCAAGTATCAGCTCAGCATCCATGCACTACATATTCTGCAATTACCAAAGAAAGTTGCTCTATTCTGTACTTCGAGCTATGTTAACATAGACTAGAGGTCAGTTACTAAGGTAGAGTCTGTTGGGTTAAATGCTAGACAGCTCCTAAGGGAAAGTCTAAGCAGAATAGAACCTATAAGGGTTGGGGTAAGATCCTCAGAAAATAATGCAGGACATTGGATTGGCTAGCATTTCCACGGTCTTGCCTTTACCTGACTCATCTATTTCCATTTTTTTCTAGGACTTCCTGATCATGTTTGTGCATCACTTGGCTACCATTGGGCTTATCACCTTCTCCTACATCAACAACATGGTTCGGGTGGGAACTCTGGTCATGTGTCTACATGATGCCTCAGACTTCTTGCTGGAGGTGAGAACCCATCACCTCTTTCCTCATCATTCCTCTTTTTCTCTCCTTTTCTATGTGAGAACTGACTTTTTCCCCAAATAAAATTCTTATCTTCCTTTCTTCAGGCAGCCAAGCTGGCCAATTATGCCAAGTATCAGCGGCTCTGTGACACTCTTTTTGTGATCTTCAGTGCTGTTTTTGTGGTCACCCGGCTAGGAATCTATCCATTCTGGTGAGTACTAGGGCTGTGTAGCTGTGGTAGGTAGATATGTAGCTAATGATACTTTTTTGTCAATTCAGTTTTTCTACTTTATCCTATTCTGTTTTTACTGTAAAATACCAACAACCCTATTTCCCTGCTTTTTCCTTAGCCTAAGATGATCCTTTATGGATTCTCATAGAACCTCAGCTGCCTTACACAATATTTCTAGCAAAGTGTGATCCAGACTCAGTGTCCAACTCAGTTGGCTTCTGGCTTTCCTGACTGTCTCTGAGAAACAGTCCCCATTTTGTGCCTAAGTAATTCCTTTGCCTGCTTTTGCACTGCTAACAAAATTCTCAGGCTCTTCTTGCTTGTATTCATGCTCTATACCCTCTTCCCTACCCTGACCAACACACACCACTCCCCTTTCACTTTTACACTCACTACTTTATGGTACAAAGTCAGTGACCTTATGGGTTGGAGATTTTGCTTAGTCTGAGGGAATCAGCTACCTACTGTCCTATGTGTTCCTGAGGATCTGAGTTATTCCTAAGATTATAGTCCTACTGCTTTCCCAATTTTGTGAAATTCTGCGTATTTGAAGTGATTAACAATGTGACTTACTCCATCAGTTCCTAAGATTTATATCTCTTTCCCTCTCCCTAAAGATAGAAAACTCCATAGGCTCCTCCCTTTCTTAATACTTTTCTCACTGTGGATGAATGTCCCTGGAACGTCAACTGATATAAGGTATGGGGAGGAAACACACAGGGCTCTGCATCCCAGGGAACTCAGCTTTATCCCTCTCTGCCCAGCTCTGACTCTAGAATCTGACTGTTGGCCTCCCTCTTTTAGGATTCTGAACACGACCCTCTTTGAAAGTTGGGAGATGATCGGGCCCTATCCTTCCTGGTGGCTCTTCAATGGCCTTCTCCTGATCCTACAGGTTCTACATGTCATCTGGTCCTACCTAATTGCACGAATTGCTTTCAAAGCCTTGATCCGGGGAAAGGTGAGCATAAAAGATGTCTTCTTTCTTTGGGCTGTGTGGGAAGATGGACTCAAGAGACCTTCTCTTTCCTTCTAGCCTGGTGAGTCCTATCTACACAGGTAGGCCAAGCAAAAGCTTAGGGCTTCAGAGTTTTTGCCTTTTCTACAAGTATGAGTGTTTAGCCTTTTAAGATGTGACTTAGAGGTAAGAGCAAGGATCTACCTTCTTCCTGTCCCTTAAGAATAGCTTTTGTGGGCTGGCCCAGTGGCGCACTGGAGAGTGTGCCGCTTGGGAGCGTGGTGGCGCTCCCGCCGAGGGTTCGGATCCCATGTGGAGACCGGTTCCCGCTCACTGGCTGAGCATGGTGCGGGCGCAACACCGAGGGTTGCGATCCCGTTACCGGTCAGTAAAAAAGACAAAAAGGAAAAAAAAAAAAGAATAGCTTTTGTTGGTTAGAATGTGGTGTTATAATATCAAGGTTAAGGGTTAAGATCCCCATACTGGCCACCTACCAAAAAAAAAAAGGGGAATGTCTTTTGTTAAAGAATGAGTAGGGTTAAGAGTTTTAGAGATGGCCTCAACCATTTCCTACCCCTTACCTGCCTCCTTCAGTGGATTTCATATTTTTGTTTTTAGTGTGGGAGGCTTTTTTCAAAGGAAATCATGTGCAGAACTCCAAGATATAAACTGTTTAAAAGTAGATTGTTAGGTTGCCTAGGAGTGGTATAGTAGCTCACAAGCCACGCCAAAATGACCATGCTCTGATATTCAAGATTCAGTTTATATAAGGAACTAAGTACCCGCCTCGCCCCACTGTTCTTATGAGGCAAGGGTCCTAAGTGAATGAGTATTTAGTGTTTTCAATATCCATCTTATGACAATAGCCCAAAAACACAAAGAAAGGTACCATTTAATGATAAAACTCATAACTGAATTTTGCAAGTTCTGAACCAGTCAGACTGTGATTGGCCCAAGAGCTAGGGATTTCAGCCTTTATTAATACAAAATCCCAGGTGGGAAGGGCTCTGCTAGAGAGGAGGTACTGACTGTAGGACGCACAAGGAATGTAACCTAGGTATTTATGCTCTCTTATGTCATTGTTCCTTATGGCTACAATTGATTTCAGAACTTGCTGAATGTGCCTATCTTGCTGTAGTTACTGGACATCTCTGTTCTCCTCTGCTTTTCTTTCCTGACCAGGTGACCTATCCAAGAAGGATTAGACCCAGACTCTGTACTCTTCATTCTTTTCTCACCTCCTTCCTTTTTTCTATGCCTGGCGGGAGCTGGACAGTTTCATCTCTTGCATGTAAGTCTATCTGTGCTTCTAGTATTCAGTGAAGCATGTCTGTGTGAATGTATTTCTCTTCCTTCCTGCTTTCCTTTCTGTTCCCCTATGCTTGTCTCAGAGCATGCCCTCTCTTCTGACTTTGTGCGGCCGTTGTTGAGTGGAGCTGAAGTTGCTACATTCTTTTCTTAAATTGAAGCAAAAGTTGAATCTATTCTCTTTTTTAGTTTTTTTCTTTTTGAGCTTCCCTTTACCTCAAATCTAAAGACACCCTGCCATTTGGTGGAAATTTGCTAAAGATCAGGTAATCAATTAGTCATCTGGGTTCAGAGGTTGACGGCTATAATAAACTATAGAATTACAGAGCTAATCCAAAGAAAATACCCACGTCCTTGGCAACAGCAATTGTATATTTGTTCCTTTCTACTCCTTTCTCTCCTTTCCTTTTTTTTTTTTTTTTTTTTTTTTTTTTTGGCAACACATATTTATTATCTTTAAGTTCTGGAGGTCAGAAGTCTGACACAGGTCTCACTGGGTTTCTCTTCTTTATGGTCCATGGTACAGAATTTGAAATGCTTTACTTGATATGCTGGATAGTTTAGATTGGAAGATACTGCTGTAATCCAAACTCTTCATTTGAAAACACAAAACAGGGGCTGGCCAGTTAGTTCACTTGGTTAGAATGTGGTGCTGATAACACCAAGGTCCAGGTTCAATCCCTGTACTGGCCAGCTGCCCCCCCCCCCGTTACATAACACTGTAAATGTACTTAATGTCACTGAATTGTACACTTATGAATGGTTAAATGGTAACTAATGTTATATATATTTTACCACAATAAAAGTATAAAAAATATCACCCCCCCCCAAAAAAAAAAAAAGAAAAGAAGAAAAAAATACAAAACAAAAAAGCTCAGATTGAAAGGTAAAGATTCACAGATGGTAGCATGATTAGGACTAGGATTCCCTTCTCACTGACTGCCAATCCATTTTTGTTTTCACCATACTGTGTATCTTGGGGATGCTGAAGTGTTCCAAAAGCTGATCTTGCTTTTGGGAAAGGGGAGAAGAGTCAGAAATGGTCTCATAGGATAGTGATAGTTGATCAGTAAACTACTAAAAAAGGCCTATTATGGATCAGCTTTGGTGGATAACCAATATGAATAAATGCAGTGTCCACAACCACCAGAAAATAGAAGCACTGATGACAGTCATGTTTTGTTTGTGTTGGCCTTCCCTGTTCTCTGCGGTAGAAGAGGAGAAAGGCTGTCTGGAGTTCCACCCAAAACCTAAACTAGGTCTCAGTGAATAATGTCAGTTCTCTTAGGCTGGTCCTCAAAGGTATACCCCTCTACCAAAGCAGCTTCTACTTCATAGAGATCAGAATCAGATATGACAAGAAAGAATGCCAGAAAGCAGGCAAAGGCTATTCACAACAGTAGCCATGGTCCCGATAATACTTTGAGTCAGGTATCACAGAAAGTAGACCAGATTGGGAACAGTGCCCAGACATCAGCTCTGTGAGCTTTGTCTGTTTTATGATTCTCTCCAGAAATGTTCTGTCCTTACTTTTCTGCCTTTGGTCCCATCCCACCCAGGTGTCTAAGGATGACCGCAGTGATGTGGAGAGCAGCTCAGAGGAAGAAGATGTGACCACCTACACAAAAAGCCCCTATGGCAGCAGCTCCAGCAATGGTGCCAATCAGGTGAATGGGCACATGGGAGGCAGCTACTGGGCTGAAGAGTAAGGTGGTTGGTATGGGGACTTCAGCACACATGAACTTACAGGGCCACTGGCAACTTACTCCTCTTGGGCCTCCCCACATCTACACTTCTGTGACTAGCGGGACTGCAAGGCACTGAGGAAAATGAAAGAAGCAAGTAGTTTCACTTTTTAAAAACCTCTGCCATTTTGTATTTAATAGCCTCCTGGTTCTTTCTGTAATGTTATTTGCTCTCTGTGTGTTTTTGTGTGTGTGTGCTTGTGTATGTGCATTTGTGCACTTGCATGAGTTTCATTGCCAGTTTGGGGCACAAGTCTGGACTGGGGCCACTAGGCCTTGCCTGGTCCCTTCAAACTCACCTCAAATCCCAGATTTGGCTGCATCTTGAGTTATGCTGGCTCCGGACTATCCCCTCCCTGGTTGCCCATGGCTCTCAAGGCTCTAAATCCCTGGACCATCTGAATGAAGCAGCCAAGTTCAGTTCCAGGTTTCTGCACTGTTCTTTTGGAGCTGGAATATTTCACATGATGAAGTTGTATAAAAATAAAGAACTATGGATAGATGGCCAGGATTGCTGTGGCCCCTATCTAGGTCCCTTTCCTACCACCTGATAATGATAGGGACAGCTGTTGATACCCTGCTCTTTACTCAATGGTACACAGGGATGGGGGGTGGGAGAGGGTGAGCTGAGGGCTGGAGGAGGAGAACAGCCACTGGGTGAGCTGTTAATGGTTTTATACTATTGTTTACTCTTCTGTGATTAAAAGTTCTTCAACCTCCTCTACTGTCTCAACCTCGTTAGTGACTCTAGCCCTAATTTCCTGAATCCATAAGCTGATTAGATTTTTCAGTTCTAATTCAAGATGCCCTGGACACCAAATTTTTCCTCTCTGTGCATGCTGGGAAGGAGTCGGTCTGGATGCTTTACTTTTTAAGAAAAAGTAAAAACATTTAGTGGGTCACAAGAACAATACTGAGCTGACAAAAGCATGTATATAGCAAAACCAATAAAGGCTTTAGTTGAAAAGCTAAGACATCTTTAGTTAGATGTCTGTATTTACCATTTTATTCAATTCAGAGATTGCCAACTAACATTTTAAGGTTGTGATAAATGAGTCTGAACAGCTGTTTTCTCTTTTAGTTCTGTTTTCCTTTAGCCCACGGAGAAGCGGTCATCCTAATACAGATTTTTCTCTAGTTGAGGTCTTGGTAAAATTACCAAATGTAGTATTCATCTCCCAGAATAATTTTCCATTTAGTGAATATTTAGATTATCAGAATACTTCTAGGAGCTCTTGTGTACATTAAGACATATAGAGAGCTTCATGTCTGGGAGATGTATGAAAATTGAGAGAAATGGGTTATTGTTCTAAGAAGCAGATACTCATTTGATGTTCATTGACATTATAGGGATATTGACCCTACCAAACCTACCATTCTGAGAGACTGGATTTAAAAAAAAAACTTACTGTGGGGCATGGGAAAATTAAGTTCTAAGTAGGCATCTGGTCAGAGCTAATCAGGAAGACTAGAAGTCAGGTCTTAAATTTAGTACCTCAACTTGCATTATTGAAGATTAGTCATTGTGAAATACAAATGTGAAAATGCTTTTGAAAGTCTGAGGAGATAAGTATTTTGCCTTTTGAAATCTGAAAAATTGCTTTGTTAATACGGTTGGGGTTGGTAGGTCCAGTTAATCTGACAAAAGATGTAACCAAGTTGTATAATAATAGCTAATACACTAATTACATGCCAGGCACTGTATTAAATAGTTACATATGATAAAGATGAGACAGAGAGGTTAACTTGCCTAAGATCAAACAGCTACTAAGGAGTCAAACCCATTGTTTCTATTCTTAACCACTATACTCTTTATACTATACCTTCTATATTAACCACTATATCTATACTACCAGTTCCCAAGATTTCATAATGAAGAAGAATAGATGCTGAAGAAACATTTAGCCAAAGGCACAGACTGATCAACTTGCCTTGGATGAGTGAATTGAGATGAGGATCAATTATAGGAAAAGGATCTTGTTCTGAGAAAGAACTGTGTGCATAAGGTTGCAGTGGGGGTGAGAGATAGGGTCCTAGGGTATCTGAATACAGAGCTAAAAAATATAGGGTTATTGGTGCAGCAAGACTGTCATAAGGCTGGTTTTGTGGATGACCTGCAAAGATATGATGCCTGAGAGGAAGGACCCAAATTAATGTAGGGTAGGTTGGGCAAGACTCATATCATCCCTACCAGAGAACTAGGAATATTTGTAAGAGAAAGTAAGGCATTACCCCTCTTCTGTTGACTATAAAAGGGCTCTAACTTTATTATTTATTGAAAAACAAGTTATGTTTATATAGTGTTTTACTGCTTAGAAAGTAATTTCACATACATCAATAACTGAATTTCAAAATACTTCTGTGAAAGTAGGGATTTTTATCTCCATTTTCATAAAGGAGTGTTGTGATTATCTATTACTATGTAATAAACCACCCTAATACAGAGTGGCTTAAAAGGAAAATTGGGGGGTTTTTTTGGTGACTGGCTGGTCCAGGGATCCAAACCCATAACCTTGGTGTTATAAGGCTGCGCTCTTTATTTATTTATTTATTTTTTTTTTTTTTTAAAGATGACCAGTAAGGGGATCTTAACCCTTGACTTGGTGTTGTCAGCACCACGGTCACCCAGTGAGCCAACCAGCCATCCCTATATGGGATCCGAACCCGTGGCCTTGGTATTATCAGCACCACACTCTCCCAAGTGAGCCACGGGCCGGCCCCAAGGCTACGCTCTTTAAAAAGACAATTTACTATGATTTCTCATGATTTGGTTGGTTGGTTGAGCTCAGTTGGAGGTATCTCATGTGGTTGCAGATGAGAGCTGGGATTGGAGTCATTTGATGATTTACTTGCCTCGCTATCAGTTTGATGCCCTAGGAGCTCATTTGGGACTGTCAACCAAAGTGCCTACACATGGCCTCTCCATTGCCTTGGGCTTTGCATGGGTGGCTAGGTTCCAAGAGTCAGGAGGCAGAAGATGCTAAGCCATTTAAGAGTGTTGTCTAGAACTGGCACACATCACTTCCAGTGTATTCTAATGATCGAAGTAGTGACAGTAACCACCCAGATTTCAAGGGGGTGGTGAAATAGACTACCTTTTGATGGGGGAGAGGCAAGTTCACTAAGAAGAGCATTTAGAATGGGAAGTATTGTTGCAGCCATCTTTGAAAAATTCAATCTGCCACAATAAGGAAACCAAATCTCAGAAATTGTTGAAAAAACACAAACATATTAGATTGTCCATCATGTATCGTGTGCTTTCACATTATTCTAATCCTAAAGGTGATCATATGAAAGTTAGTGGATGATAGTACTGTGAATTTAAACCAAGTTCTTCAGACTTTAGATCCAGTATTCATGCAGGGAGATGTTTCAGTTTAGTAACATTTATTAAGTGCCCACTTTATGATAGGCACTGTGAACAAGATCTGGTTTCCATAATCAAAGGGCTCTTACTCTAGTATGAAAAAAAAAATGCAGTGAGAACTCTTCTGAATTGTTCTTGGCAAGGTGGAAGAAAACTTGAAAGTGGAGCTGGGGCATTAAACATGAGTAGTTTTGCCAGGCAGACAAGGAATGGGAGGGTATTATGTTTAGAAGAGATATGAGAGTATATGAAAGATCAGTTCTGACTTAATGCAGACTAAAATAAACTGAGACAAACATCTAGAAATAGTGGGAAAGTATTGTGTGTGTGTGTGTGTTTGTAATGCATATCTGAGCTTCCAAGAAAGAGACACAGAAGACACAAAGGAATTGAAACCTACAGCAGACAGCAAAACAGCCAATGCAGTTACTAAGGGGATAAGGGAAGTGTAACTTAAGGACTTGGGCTTTAATACTTGGGGTTTAAGACAAGAGTCGAGACTGGCTCCATGCAGGAAGCTGGAACCCTGAAAGAACAATAGCCTTAGTGAAATAGAGGAAACAAAAAACTCACTCAGTTGGCAAAAGGAGAAAGCAAGGAAGTTTGAATGTTGGGGCTTGTAGGATCAGGAGACTCTTAAGAGTTCTAAACTCTTGGCCCATACCTTATGTGAATTTGAGAACCTAAATGTACACTTCTTACGTGGTCTAGGAAACATTACCACCTCCTAGCCCATCCCCAGGTAAGAACTTGAATAAAAATTGGTCTCAGATCAATTATCCATGGGATTGCTCTAGAGAGACAATGTGCATAATGCAGACTACATGGAACTCTTATACACCGCCCCCCCCAGAGCTCCAAAAGATTCTCTCAGTCAAACCTGCAACATATATAACTAAGTACTAGTATCCAGACTATATAAGGAACTGACTGTTAATTTGAAAAAAAAAAAAAGATGGCAACCTAGTAGAAAGATAAAGTGGTTGGCAGGGAGGGAGAAAAGGCAATTCCCAGAGGGTGAATATACTAACAGCCACTAAATCAATAAAAAGGTGCTCAACCTTACTGGGAATCAATGATACATAAATTAAAATTAGTAGAACCCATTTCATACCAATAGAATAGGGAAATGTGGGTGAGAGTGAAATAGACATAACTTCTTTAGAAAAGCAACTAGTAAAGCTGAATATTAGTAATAATTCCTCTTTGGGAGTAGTTTGCACATGGGCCCAAGAAAATCTACAAAGATAATCATTGCATTGCTATTTATTTATAAGAGGGAAAAAGTGGAACAATATAATGATCCTTCACTAGGGGAATAGAATAAATTGATCTGCCCATTCAGTGGGATATTATGCAGCAATTAAAATGAATGAACAAAGTTTTCCTGTCAATATGGATGTATTCGTCTGGGTTCTCCAGAGAAACAACCAATAGGATATATATATAGAGAGAAAGAGACTTATTTAAGGAACTGGCTTATGAAGTTATGGAGGCTGAGAAGTGCCAGGGTCTGCAGTTGGTGAGCTGGAGACCAAGGAGAGCCAATGGTATAAGTTCCAGTCTGAGTCCAAGTCACAAGACAGAAGACCCATGTCCAGTTGTAGCCCCAAAACAATCTCTTAACCAGCCTTTTTGTTCTATTCAAGCCTTCAATTGATTAGATGAGGCCCATCTACATCTGCTTTACTCGGGTCTATTTATTCAAATGTTAATCTCATCAGAAACACCTTATACACATACTCAGAAAAATGTTTTACCAAATGTCTGGCCCAGTCAAGTTGACATATAAAATTAACCAAAACAATGTATAAATATCAAAAACAACGTTGAGTGAAAAAGGCAGGTTGAAAAGAATATGTCCCATTTGGTGCAATTAACATTACTTTTTAACCCGAAAATAATAACAAGGGTATTTCTATAGTAAAAGTACAGAAACACACACACACAACTTAAGAATGAATAGTGTTTGTCCTTGGGGAGGGAGAATGTGGTATTTTATTTTTGGTGCTCTTCAATACTAGAATAACTCATTTCAATTTTTTTTTTTAAAGATGACTGGTAAGGGGATCTTAACCCTTGACTTGGTGTTGTCAGCACCACGCTCACCCAGTGAGCTAACCGGCCATCCCTATATGGGATTCGAACCCAGGGCCTTGGTGTTATTAGCACCACACTCTCCCGAGTGAGCCACGGGCCAGCCCTCATTTCAATTTTTTTTTTTCCTTTTTGTCTTTTTTCGTGACCAGTAACAGGATCGCAACCCTCGGTGTCGCGCCTGTACCACGACCGGCTACGGGATCGCAACCCTCGGTGTGGCGCCCACACCACGCTCAACCAGTGAGCGGACCGG